GGGCTGGTATCTATGTTAATGAACGAGGACAAGTGCTATTTGATAAATTTCTCCTAAAGAGAGACAATTTCAACAGAGAAAATGTGTTCCTCTGTTGCCCGGCCAAGGTGCATCCTCTTGGTCAGCGCAGCCACACAGAGCCAGTGTCTTTGCACTGTCTCCTCGGTGCACATAAATTGTCCATTCTCCTTCCACGAGGTCTTTGACTGTCTTTTATACGTATTAGTGTACTCTGTTATCATTGTCACTGGAACAGTTGTAAACATGGCTTATTTTTCTAACAGCCTCGACCAGCTGCTTCTGCTTTATGTTTAAATGTGTGCAGCAGGAAAAAAAAACAGTTTGGATTAAAGATTTATATTTGTACTTTTAATTTTAATATGCTGATTTCATTAGAGTTAATTGCATCTTTTATTTTAAATATACAGCAGTGGACTTTCATGTTTTTCTTCTTGAGCTCTTCTGCAGCCAGAGGGGTTTTGGGGCACAAATGCTGTTATCACTGTACATGTTTATGTAAATTCATTTCCTGGATCACTTTAAAACATGTTCGTGCTCTGATCAGTTTGTCCACACGATGACGTTTTCTGTATTTTCATGGTTCGCAGCTCGTACAGTGATGAAAGCACGTTTGATTAACGTTAATCAAATGGGCTTCTGTTTGATGGGCGTATTCAGGCATTACCAGAAATGTTTTTTTTTCATAATTTCCTCCATTATCTGAGCGACAGCCTCATAAATTTGCACACAGGCTTCACAAAACAGGCAGAACCCGCTACAAAAAGAAACGAGGTGCAAGTTCTTCTTCATGACTGCTCTCAGAGAAATCTCTGCACTGACTCAGGACGACTGTGGAGGGTCAGAGTGTTGATTTGTCCTATTCAAGAAAAACATTTTTCTTTGTGATCTGGAAGTGTACTTTTAATTCTTCTTTGTTCAGAACAGAAGTCAGAGATTTCTCCGTTCTTGCTGATTTAACAAAGGTTATTTATCGGCGTTGTGAAACTCGATTCCTCTTTTGTTGCCGTTCATCTTGTCTGACGGAGCGGTGACTCAGTGGGAGCGAGGAAGCATCTGTCCTGCTCATTTTGAATTTATTAACTTCCTGTTTGTGGAGGATATGAGCTCTGTTTGCAAATACATTACCTAAAGCTCAAAAAACACTGGGATGTTTTTTATTTTTTATTTTTTTTTACCGTTTTGTTATTAGTCACATGGATCTGCTCTAACCCCCCAGACTGTTTGTTACTCACAGGGATCACATTAAATGTAAAAATACAATAACACAGTTTACTCCAGTAATGAGCAGCAGTTTTTTTTTATTGATCTCTAACAACGTTTGATCAAAAGCTGTGGTAAATTCTCACATTTAGCTAAACTAGAAAATGTTTAACAAAAAATAGCTATTGTTTTATTTACAGCTGAAGGGCAGAACAAAGGTTTGTTGTTGGGGACGTCGCCTCTCTGCAGACCTCAGAAAGCAGCGAGCGTGAGTCTCTCCTGCCGTGTCCAATTTCAGTGACGCGTAGAAACCTGAGGGTTTCATTACGCGTCAGGTCTGCTGGTTCCACGGGTTAAATATTAAACAGCGCTGCTCGGGACAAAATAAAATAAAATTCATGATGTCTTGCATCTGCAAATATTTCAGTGTAGCTGTCTGTCAGGTTGTGGGAAATAAACCAACGTGAAAACATTTCAGTGTAAAAGTCTGTTCCACGCATCAGTCCATCCCCATCAGTCTCCTCATGCAGCAAACTGCAGGTTACCATGGAAACAGCAATAAGACTCGTATGTCCTAGCTGGTCAGTGAAAATTGGAGCCTAAAGCATCTTATTTCTTTATATACATCAGTGGCGCCCAGTCCTGTCCTCGAGGGCCGCTCTCCTGCGTGTTTCAGTGGTTTCCCTGCGTTTCAGCAGGTCTTTCAGTTCTGCAGAAGCCCGGTTATTATTCAGAACAATCAGACGTGTCCAAGCAGAACAGAAGTCCGCACAATTTAAACTTTTGAAATGTTTACTATGTTCAGTTGTAAATAAAATATGGGTTTATGAGATTTGCACTGAATTCCGTTTATATCTACATTTTATAAAACCTAACTGTTTTGGAACAGGGGTTGTAAAATATTAATTGTTTGGGTTAATTATGTCGTTTTAATGTTGCGCCTACACAGAGCTGTGGGATGGATACATCTGCGTTTCCTTGCCTTAATGATGGATGTGTTTCTAACCCTAAAAGGAGGCTTTCAAATATTTTTTGAAGGTACTTAATGTTTAAAATATACTACCACATGAGGTTATTTCACCTTCTTATGACCTCAGTCAGTTTATTCAGGGAACTGCAGTTGTTCTTTTACTGCCTTCATGGGTCAGACTCTGACTTTTCAGTTGGCTTTAAAACTGGTTCTGGCTTTACTTAAGGTTACATGATTCACAAAGTTGAAGGGGCTTTTTCTACACAGCTGTTGACAGCAACAGTCAGATATTTGTCTTTCTTAAAATAAAGTGTTTCTGAAAACTGTAGGTATCACAGAGTGGAGGGCTGCTTTTAACGGGGACGAGAGGAGTCGATGTTCTTGCTCTTCATTGTTGTCCGCCCCTAAAACCCACCAACATGCCCACAGATCTCCTGATGCATGCTCAATAATCCAGGTGCCCACAGATCGTTTGTGGTGATGGCGTTTCCTGAGCCAACCTTGATCCCAATCTGTCCTAACTCTATTGCACACCTAAACGTGTTCTTTTCATGATGTCTTCTTGAAAATGCAGCCACGGTTCTTAAAGTGCTTCTGTCTTATTGGCAGGAATCAGGATTTCTGCTTCGTTACTGATTCTGTTGTCAGACGTTTAGTTTGTTCACACAGCCGCATTAACAAAGTCTTTAATAGTCACTTTTTAGACAGATGATCCAGCTGTGTCACACCTGGCTCAAACCGGAGGCTTTCCCTTCAGCTGACCACAGTGTTTGGACAAACATGAGTCTAATCGTTGCTTCTGTCCCTCTGTGTTAAAGGTGTCTGCCCTCATGCAGAGAGTCCAGGACTCGGAAACGCTGCTCAGCACGCTACAGCACGCCTTCAGCGAGGCTAAAAGGAACACACAGGAACAGATGGTGAGTGGCGTCTTTATTTGCTGGCAGTTCCTGCCAGATGTGTCCAGATCTGTTTTTTTTCCTCTGCAGCCTGTTCAGAAAGCAACACTTTTTTTTTTTTTTACAAAATGTTGCTCTCTCTGAGCCAAGAGAGGTGTCAGCTCGTGGGCTGCAGCCTGTCTGCTGGTGTTATGTCATCATAACATCCTCACTGTTCTTCACCACCAGAAACATAAGCTGATGAGCTGGAGCTCACGGCTTACAGATATTATATTTACTATATCGCCCCAATATCAATCAGACTTTATTTATACGGTGCTTTACAGAAGTAAAATTAGGAGTAACAACAAATCAGACTCAAAGGTTGTGTTCTAATTAAGTGAAAACATTATGGTAGTTTTTTAAAATTATCATTAAAGGACAGAAGAACTAAAGGAATACACAGATATTAGGGGTGTAATGATACTCCCGAGTCCTGGTTTTATTTAAAAAAAACAGCCTTAAAGCGCATAAAACCAAATATGTTACGTGTAAAATTAGATTACATTTAGAAAAAGCCCATCATTGAGGTTTGATTAAAAAGTAGACTGAAAAGGTAAGTTCTACATAGAGAACATAAGTGAAGTGTACACATTTATACTACAATTTTGTCAATTTATTCATTTTTTGTGTACAATAATTGTACAAACATGGAAACCACAACAAACTAAACTGCAAGCATGGGGTGTAAAACGGGGCTAAATGGATAAATGGAGTCGTTGATCCTAAAATTCAGTTTCTTATTTGAAATTAATTAGAAACTCAGAAGTTGAAGTTTGATTGTTTTATTCTCCATAAGGTGGTTTGTTTTGGTTAGTCCAGCGTATGTTGAAACACCGCGGGTTATAGTTAAAAGGAGTTTGGATAAAGCATGAGCTGAAGCAACAGGATAAGACGGAGTGGTTTGTTTTGTGTTCAGGCGGTGCTGGTGAAGTCCAGGGAGCAGGTGGCGGACGAGCTAAGTCGGCTACAGAGAGACAACGACAGCCTGCAGGGAAAACACCGGCTGCACCTGGAGCTCCAGCAACAGGAGGACTTCCAGATGCCCAACACAGTGCAGGTAGCTTTGAAGTTTAAATTCAGTTCAGTTTGTTTATAAACCGTCCGTTCACAACTAAAGTCATGTCAGGGTGCTCAAAACATTTACATCCATTATAATATGCCTGTTACTAACAATTATGTAAGGGAGCCAGCAGACTGCAGCTGGGTCTACACTTCACTGCAAACTTGTATCCTAAGAAGAACGAGGCGACAGTGGAGAGGAACAACTCTCTCTAAACAGGAAGACACCTCCATCTGGACCGGGCTCAGGATGAGCAGCCATCTACCTGGACCGGCTGGGGTTAGGGGGGATAGAGACAAACACAGAAGGCCTGGTCCAAGATTCTGTGGTCCACATGTAGATTCTATGGTCCAGGTGTAGATTATATGATCCAGGCGTAGATTCTATGGTCCAGGTGTAGATTATATGATCCAGGCGTAGATTCTATGGTCCAG